GGTCCAAAATGTGGTATGTGACGAGACAGTGGTAATATGAAGCACTGCGCCGGTGGGCGCTGCGAGCGGCATCGCGTCCGTGAGACGACTGTCTTGCCGGGCCGTTCCAACGAGGTGTTAGAGGGACGCGGATCTACATTACTCAGCATGGGGCCTTGCCTCTGCTTGAATTTACCCAAATTGGAACACATCGAGAATGAGCCGCACGCCGCACCGCGCACGACTGCGCAGCAGGTCGCGATTGCCTTGCCCGCCTCCCAAAGGTCGTCACAAAAGTTCATACTCCGGGATCGAAGTGATCGGGACGCGAACTATGAACTCAGTCTAAGAGTTCGAAGATTTCGTTTCACAAAAAAACATCAAGAAATTTTAACACTGAAACTCAGAAATCATGTGGACTTATTCTAATCAGAGAACAGCCTAGGTAGCCAGAGAACAGCCTAGGTAGCGGAAAAGAATGCCTATGTATCGACCTGTAGAGAGAGAGTCGATGAATCGCGGAATTGCGGGAACTGACAAAATCAGAAATTACGTGAAAAAGAATCGGCGACTCTCCAGATTGATACATATTCATTCCTTCGCTGTTTCTCCGATTCTCCCAACTCCGTGATTACCTATTCTTTGATTCTACAAATTGCGAGGTTTCAAAGTGGTTTAACAAACGTCTCGTGACGTTTCGTGAAGCGATTGTGACCTCACGGTACTATTACCCCAAGGGTGCTTCTTGAGCGTGAAAATAAAGAAAATACGGATCAAAATCAGCACAATATACATTGAGTTCGTCGGGCGCAGTTCGTCGACGGTGGGAGGGGCATTGTGCACTTCAGCTGCACTAATTCTGGTTTACAAGTCTCACGCTTCTGGAACCTATACTGCTGTGAACCTGGAGCAAGCTATCACGTCGTCATCGTAAATGGTATTGTATTACCATTGTGATTACTTAACAAGGCATGTGATTTCTAAAAGCTGACTTTGGCTGGCATCGTTTCTTGACTTCAAACGACGTCTCCATTTGATGGCTGACAGGTCGATGGGAAGTAGCAAGACTTTAGAGTGCCCCCCCCCCGGCAGAACTACACCAACCGTTCGAATGGAGCAAATTGGAGATTCTGCTTTTCTCGGCTCAATATAGCAATAAATCGTAGGGAGTCAATAACAAAACAAAAGCGGACACACCATGAGCGATGATCTCTGAGATGCATTTCAATGAAATGTACGCGAGATGTTGTTGCAGGCATCACAATCAACAGAAAATCAACGAAAGTGAAAAGGTATAGGTTGTAGAGACCCGAACTTACTCGACCTGTAACCTCGATGAATCGACGTAGCCGCTTGAGAGGGCAATTGTGAGAAAACCGGTCGCTCACGTGGAGAATAATTGAATCATTCATACTATCATCGAGTCAGAAAACAAACATACGTCTAATCAGACACGCACTTCCACAAGAGATATGAGTTGTTAAGTGGGCACGAGAGTTTCATGAGAGCTCCGCCCTCGCGACAACAAAGAACGATAAACATTTAAGCCATAAATCGGCTAGGGATCCCGAACAGACTTTTCGTCACATGTTAATCCCATAGTTTGCTGGTCATGCTCTTCGTCACGCACATGCGGTGTGATGTTCTCAAAAACCACTCTTCCCACACTTCAGCACCAATTTTTTGAGGGAAAAAAGTTTTATGATTCAGGCGTGGCGCTGTCCAGCTTCAAGAAAGCATTTTTCACTTCCACTCAGCTCACCTCGGTGAGAACAGTAGACTCTTGTCATAACTTAAACGAAGCTCCTATGGCTGCATTTATTTACAAGGGTCTACAGGGCCAGGGTACAGCATCGTGATGTGTGAAGTGGAGGTGTCAGCACGACCCCCCCCCATCTAAGGGAAGGTCTCGGCTCCCCTTCCCCAACGCCTACCTACCACTTTCCCACAATTTGTGTTTTTCACCCAAAAATTTTCCGTCGACGGGGATAATAGCACATGTTAAAGGGACGGGAAATTTTGTCAAATTTCCCCAACTTCCTACCCTTTTTTCCGGAGGTTCTCGGAGATTTTCCTGCTTTTCCCCAGAAATTTTGCTGTCAAGGGGGGTGATGGGGTACATAGTACACATGGAACAGGAAAAACCGTGAACACTCAACAACCGGAAAAAATTTTCCCAACGCGGGAAATTTCTCTCAAAGGCACATACGACCCCCCCTCTCCCAACAACGACCAAATACGACCCCCCCCCTCCCCAGCCGAAAAGTACGACCCCCCTATGTGTTTCACACAACGATGCTGTATGCTGTACAGGCCTCCACAAGGCAATGATCGATAAAAGTGAGCAAAATGCCCCACCATGTCTAACTGTGCCAAAAAGTTCCTCCCAAAATGACCTGCCTTCCCATTCTATCTATCATCGTCTCAAGCTTGGTCCGAACTATTATTCCCCATCGCTGCTCGTTTTGTGAGGGGCACCTTGCTCTTTCACTCGCTTTATTTTATTAGTACCTGTTAAATTACACGTTCTCACCTTGGTAAGGCCTGCAGACTCTTGTAAAGTGTAAACGAAGCTCATGCTATTGTAGAGCTTTACAGAAAGTAACAGGACAGGAGGCATTGGCATGATCGATGGGTACCAGCCAAACGCCCTATCTCATACTACGCTCCAAAAACTTTACGTCTTTGCAGCAAACATTTCGAATTGAATGCTTTACGGGGTGAAGCTGTTTACTTGATAATCAGCTTTGAAGGATAAAAAAGATCAAGTTTCCGCAGTCAACAATCCCTTCTTGAGATGCGGCACGCATTCTACTTCCACTTCAGAATCGTAGTGGCTTACTGAATGCGATGTGGCCTATAAAGACTTGCGGGGGCCAGCCGATGTACAAGTCAGTGTTTTATCCTCCCAGACGAATCTGGTACCAATTTACCGTCCCCGGAGGGTAGAAGGCTTGGTTGGCCTGGGCGGGAGTCGATCCCGGGATTTGACCCCGCGCTTGTGGTTAGCCATTGCCACTTGCCACTACACCATCTGCGCATCGCATAAATAGCTTTTCCGAGAATTCCGTATATATTTATTCTGTCTTTACTTTTTGCATTTCAATCGATCCTCAAGAAGATCGCCGCACTGAGACTTCGACTAGACATGAGACTGCTTCAAAAACTAAAATAAGAAAAACAAGTTCAACAAATGCTGTAAAGTGTAAAACTAGCCTCGTCGGAACACAACGAAGTAGACCGCAGTAGTCAACAATGTTCAATCAATGTTTTCACGCATTCGTGATAACACTTGAGAAAAAAAATCGAGTTATTGTTCGGTACCCTCCCCAACAAGTACAGTACACGACATCTGGAGGGTCGAAATGCCATGAAATTCAAGAGCAAGTAACCAGTTGACCTCGGCATATACTCAGAGATATCAGAAAGTAAAAATCACCTAGTCTGAGGCTACAACACAATTTATAGTTCAGGGCGCATGATTGGCACGCGCATGAACTTAGCAGACTTACACTTTTTAGTTTCAAATTCAGATAAAGACCAAACA